TCCCTTATACTACCCATGTTTCACCTTTCGTGGGCAAGTTCTTTAGTTAACCAAAATGCCCACATTATTTATCACTTCAAGTCTGTAAATAAAGCCACTGAAAGCAATGAAACAGAATCTTGTAGTAAGGCTACATAAATTATATGTCTTTATTGGAAGGAAAGATTTTCTAAATTGGTCTCAATTTAGAAGTCAATAAATATATAATAAAGCTATCTCTACTCTCAATATATTTTCATAATATTTCAATATATTTTCACTTTTGCAAATACTTTAATCTTATTAGTTGCTCTTCATTAGTCCTTCACATTATGCCACTGGACAAATACCTTTAAAAAAATAACTCAAAGAAGGAAACTACTTAAAATACATTTCCAGTATTTTATAGAGTTTATTGGATCAGAATCTATTCTCCTTATACTTCAACTCCACCACTGAGCTTAAAATTCCTTCCAAGCTTTTGGGAACAATGCTCTCAGTGTCACTATCCCTACTATACATAGGATAATCATTGGCTGTTCCCCAAATTCCAGAACCATGTGCCATTGCATTGCTTTCCTCCCACACTGAAGTCACTGGCAGTAGCTCATTTTGGCAGTTTGTCAAATAAATCACACGGTAAAGCACTTGGTGATCTTTAACCAAATGAATCTGCAGTGTGTGCAGCATATGACATGTAGAGGTATTCCACACGTTATAATAGAACACAGTGAAGGATATACCCTGTACAGCATAATCCTGGAATCAAGACTTCTCTTTGAGAACTTCTCTTTAAAGTAATACTCTTTTTTTGAGCTAAAAAGGTCAACTTACTTAAAAACAAAGGCAAATACCATCTCATGGCAACTACTGCTCCCTTCTGAGAATGACTGATGTCTTACATACTTATTACCAGACAGTTTATGGAAATTATGCTGTCAAATAGATCACATTTTCCTACAGAAACAGTGTAAGGATAGGGCTCATATCCCTTACCAAAGAATCAGCAGAGAAACTATAATTATGAGAGTTAAAGCAAAGATAAGACTATTATAAAATTTTATAATATAAAGTGACAAAAGAATGCTTCGCCTTTTTAATTTATTTAACAAACGTTTAACAGGTGTCTGTGATATGTCAGGCATTGGTAATCAAATAACACCTGGTACCTGCCATGCTCAATAAATTAACTAACAGTCACAATTTACTAAACAAGCACATCAATGTTCACCGTATAGGGTGGTTACTGTCATGAATGAGAGATGCTTAGAGTCTGTGAGGACACAGAAGACAAACCTCTAAATCAGCATCCAGGGATCAGTAAACACTTCCTGGAAAAGATGACCTGGGCTCAGCTTTACTACATGAGCAAGAACTGACTGAATTAGAAAGGCAATCCAAGTGACAGGAATATGGTCATGTTCTGCATAACAACATTTCGGTCAACAACAGATGCATACATGATGGTGGTCCCAGAGGATTATAGTAGAGTTGAAAAATTCTTATTGCCTAGTGACCTCATAGCCATAGTAACATTGTAGTGCAACGCCTGTGGGTTTTGGTAACACTTTCAGAAGAAGGCATTGTTAACACAGGAGATGAAAATTCCCATGCGTGCTATTGCCCCTGAAGACCTTTCAGTGGGACAAGATATGAAAGTGGAAGGCAATGACATTGACAGCCCTAATTCTGTGTAGGACTAGGCTAATGTGTGTATTTGCATCTTAGATTTTAGTAAAAAAAAAAAAAAAAAAAAAAAAACTTTAAACAGTAAAAAAGAAAAAAAAAATTTAAATTTAAAAAAGAAAAAAACTTATAGAATAAGGACATAAAAGAGAAAATATTGTGCAGCTGTACAATGTGTTTTAATCTAAGTATTACTACAAAAGAGTCAAAAAGTTAAAAATTTTTTAAGTTTATAAAGTTAAAAAGTTGCAGTAAGTTAAGGTTAACTTATTATTGAAGAAGGAAAAATATTTTTAAATAAATTTAGGGTAGCCTAAGTGTACAGTATTTATAAAGTCTACAGTGATACTAGGCATTCACCACTCCCTGACTCACTCAGAGCAACTTCCAGTCCTGCAAGTTCCATTCATGGTATGTGCCCTAAACAGGTGTACCATTTTTTAATTTTTTTTTACCATATTTTTACTGTGCCTTTTCCATGTTTAGGTATACAAATACTTACCGCTATGTTATAATAATCATTGCCTGCAGCATTCAGTATAGTAACATGCTGTAAAAGTTTGTAGTCTAGGATGCCTAGGTGTGTTGTAGACTATGCCATCTAAGTTTGTGTAAGTACACTCTATGATGTTCACACAATGACAAAATGATATATGGATATACTTCTCAGAACATGTCCCCATTGTTCAGTAAGGTATGACTGTAGCTGGTAACACATGCACAGAGGCATAAAGCAACATGGAACATTCAAGAAACTGAGAGTTCCTGTGTGGAGGAACATTTGAGGGAGGAGCAGTCACAGGAAATGAGGTGCAAGATAATGGCAGAAGCCAAATTATGAAATGCTTTGGGAGGTAGGTTTAAAGTTTGAACTTTATTGAAAAAGGTAGTCCCCCTGATCCTCCAACAGCTACTAAAAATGATTTTAAGCAGAGAAGTAAAATGAGCATATTTTCATTTTTAAAAGATCTATTTGATTTTACTATGGAGGAAAGCTAATGCAATAACCCTGAATTCACGAAGCAATGTTAAGAATAGAGTAGAAGGAACAGATCTGAGAGACAACAAGGAGGAAAAATTCATTGAACCTAACTGATGAAAGAATATATACACCAAACCCCCATGACACCAATATGACAAACCTGCATATTTTTGAACCTGAAATAAACATTTTAGAAAAGTTTTTAAAAGTTAATTGAACTTAGACATTAATTGGAAGAGAGGGTGGAATGAAAGGAAGAGTCTAAACTGGCTTGGTGACTAAGATGATGTTCAAGAACAAGGACAAAGTGTGGGTCTCTGTTGGTAGGGAGCAGGGAAAAACAACAAATATATTTCAAATTATCTTGCACATCATGTTGTCTATATATTGTCTGAAGAATACGTATAAAATGTAAATTGTATATAATATATATAACAAAGTGTAGCCATTTTGGAAAACAGTGTGGAGGTTCCTAAAGAAATTAGAAATAGAACTACCATTAAGAGCTAGCAATCCCTCTTCTGGATATAACACTGAAGTAAAGGAAAGCACCACTTCATAAAGATATCTGCACTCCCATATTCACTGTATCATTATTTACAATAGTCAAGATATGAAAACAACCTAAGCGTCCATCAACAGATGAATGGATAAATAAATTGGTCTATATATACAACGGAAAAAAGGAGATCCTGCCATCTGTCACAACATGGATGAAACTGGAGGACATCATGCTAAGTGAAATAAGCTAGACATAGAAAGCTATTGCACAATCTCACTTATATGCAGAATCTTTGTTTAAGAAAGTCATATAGGCAGACACAGAATAAAACAGTATCTACCAGGGGCTGGGGGCAGGAGTGAGGAAATGGGCAGGTGCAGATCAAAGGATACAAAGTTGCGGTTATGAATAATGAACAGCTCTGGAGATCCAGTACACAACTTGAAGACTAGAGCTAATAATGTTGAATTCAGGATTTTTGCTAAATGAGATTTAGATGCTCCTGCTACACACACAAAAAAAATGGGTAACTGTGAGATTAAGAATATGTTAATTTACTTTATTATAGTAACCATTTTACTAGTTATATGTATTTCATAACATTATGTTGTATACCTTAAATATACACAATAAAATTTATTTTAAAAATAAATTCACATAAATACAATTTTTTTTTTGAGACGAAGTCTCACTCTTGTCCCCCAGGCTGGAGTGCAATGGCACAATCTCAACTCACTGCAACCTCTGCCTCCTGGTTTCAAGTGATTCTCCTGCCTCAGCCTCCCACGTTTACAGGCGCCTGCCACCACGCCCAGCTAATTTTTGTGTTTTTAGTAGAGATGGGGTTTCACCATGTTGGCCAGGCTGATCTCGAATTCCTGACCTCAGGTGATCCGCCTGCCTTGGCCTCCCAAAGTGCTGGGATTACAGGCATGGGCCACCACGCTCGGCCAGAAATTTTTTTAAGTATATAACAAATAATCCCCTGTATCATACATGTGACATAAAGCTTACTGTTACTAGTATATTCATTTTAATTATTTAATTGGCAAAGGCTTCCTGATTTTCTTAAAGTTATGTTGGGGGGTTGAGGGAGAAAAAGTATTTAAAAATCCCAAGTCTCTTTTACAAAGCTGAACAAGAAAATTTAACTTTCCTTTTCTTCCCAAAATAGATACTTGCAGAAAGCTGATATATACGAAAGCATTCCACTAACCAAAGAATATTCAGCAATTATTTTAAAAGCATCCTACAGTTTAGACTTAAATTCATTAGAAAATTGCTGTATTATCATAAATAAAGATCACAAAAAGATGAAATATATGCTTAGATTATGTAATATTAACAAAGCAGCAACTTGACTCATGCATACTTTATGCAAGCATTTTTTAAAAAGTTTAGGAAATCTAAACCTCCAGAAATTTGCAAAGTTAAAAATGTACTTCTGAGATGGTCAGGTCAAAAACTTCTATTTCCCAGCTGTTTACAAGGAACTTCATAACTTATTTATGTATAGACAAATAAATCTTCAGCTTCATTAGTCATTTCTCACTATATCCTATGACCAAAAAAGGGTACTCTTCTCTTTGTTTATTATGGAAAAGCTATGTCAAGGCGGGGGAGGAAGAGGAATTGCCTGCGGGGACTGAGCAACTAAAAAGAAGAGCCTAGAGTGGGACTGAGCCTTGGAGCTGTCTAATGAGCCACTCTGCCTCCCACAGCTAGCTCCTCACAGCTCTGCAAAAGACTGAAAAACTGGAGCCAACAAAAACAAAATACTCACAGATCTAATTTGGTGACTAACACCCTAAAGATATGCAGTTTGCTCCTGAGCAGGACTAGAGTACTCACTTTCTTTGCGAACTTCCTCAAGTGAAGCCGTAAGCTCATCCTTTAAAACTGTAGCTTCCTGGGCAATCTTCTCTCCCTTGTCTAATAAATTCCAAGTTGCTTCCTCCACAGAAGCTAGAAGGATACTGGCTCTTTTCGAACGTCCTTTTTTCCTGCTGGAAGGGTTCTGGGGACAGTTTACAAGTGTGGTAACCTAAAATTGAAAAAATACAAAGTACTCCATTGACAAATTGTAAGGCGAACACAGTCCTGTGATATTACAGCCCAGAACAAAAGACAGTACAGTTGACCCTTGAGCAACTCAAGGGTTAGGGGCACCAACCCACCATGTAGTTGAAAATCTGAGCATAACTTTCGACTCCTCAAAAACAGAACTACAAATAGCCTACTGGTGGCCAGAAGCCTGATAACAACAGTCGATTAACACAGATTTTGTATCTATATGTACTATATAACTGTATTCTTACAATAAGATGAGCTAGAGATAAGTGTTATTAAGAAAATCATAAGGAAGAGAAAATATAAATAAATAAATAAGTATAAGTAGATCATCATAAAGGTCTTCATCCTCATCATATTCATATTCCTGAGGAAAAGGAAGAAGAGAAGGGTTGGTCTTGCTGCCTCAGGGGTGTAAGAGGCAGAAGAGATGGAGGAGGTGGAAGGGAAGGCAGGAGAGGCAGGCACACTTGGTGTAACTTTTATTGAAAAAAATTCCGAATAAAAGTAAACCTGCATAGTTCAAACCAGTGTTGTTCAAAGATCAACTGTATTTCACAGTAACATGACTCATTTCCAGTGCTGTCGGTACGCCTACAAAAGTCAAGTCATGGCACCAAGAACAGAAGCAGGAGCCACCAGGGAGTTCCCAACTAAAAATAGGAAGTGAAAGCCTTAGCATTTGAATTTCAAAATATAGACATTAAAATGCCCACTCTTCAACTACCCCGGTCATCAAATCATTTCTATGTTAAATATTTACTGAACATCTGTTTTTTATATTGTTCTGGATGATGGAAAAGAAATGCATTTCACGCTTTCATGGAGTTTACATTCTTAATGTTGGCAGCTTACAATAAACATATAAACAAATAAAAATGTAAGGTTCAGTAAATATTAGGAGGAAAAATAAAGTTGGGGGAGGGAACAGAGTGAGAAAGAGTGGGGATCGGGGTGGTCAGGAAAGGCCTCTTGATGGGGGACTTTGAGTGAGACCTGTCTGAGAGGCCAAATGAGTTAGAGGAAAGTGTAGGAGACAAATCTGAGAGTTTACAAAGGGCAAGAAAGTAGGACATAGTAAGGATCTGGCCTTTGTCCCCTGAGGCAACCGCTGTTTTATATGATTCAGAATGTTTCTTCCTCTCCTAATATTAGTTATCTCTATTCTCACCCTAAGTAGACTAATACTGACTTAATTATAATTATTTTTGGCTCCCTCTTAATGTAGATTGCTGGCTAAAAAGTGGTATAAATTTTATCTTATAAAATTATTTGATATTTTGGAGATAAATAATTTTCTGCTCTCATTTTTGACTGTCTTATCAAAGTTCTGTATTTTTTATATGAAGTTTCTGTAATTAAAACAATACACACATATACAGGCTTCTAAAGCATTCTTCCAGTAGTAAAACTTGAACAAACTCCTCACCACAAGTATATGAAGTGAGAAATGTGTGAATTAGCTTGATTTAATCATTTTACAATGCATACATATATCAAAACATCACAGGGTACAAAATAAATATCTATAAATTTTATTTTCCAATTTTAAGTTAATAAAGCTTGGGGAAAAAAAGAAAGAAATGAATCTTAACAAATACAAGAACAAACTCATAATAAGAACATTATTTGAAGACAAAAATTAAGCTTCTGTATTTGGAAACAAAAACATCATACTGAATTACATTATTAAAAAACACCCATTTCTGGCTGGGCGTGATGGCTCATACCTGTAATCCCAGCACTTTGGGAGGCCAAGGCAGGCAGATCACCTGAGGTCGGGAGTTCAAGACCAGCCTGATCAACATGGAGAAACCCCATCTCTACTAAAAATACAAAATTAGCCGGGCGTGGTGGCACTTGCCTGTAATCCCAGCTACTCAGGAAGCAGAGGCAGGAGAATTGCTTGAACCCAGGAGGCGGAGGTTGTGGTGAGCCGAGATCACACCATTGCACTCCAGCCTGGGCAACAAGGGCAAAACTCTATCTCAAAAAAAAAACAAAACACCCACTCTTAATTAAATCTTGGATCACTATTACAACTTTCGGATTAAATTTTTATAAACAAAGCTTTAAAATCACCATCGTAGAGGAATGAGAGAAAGGAAAAAAAAACTTGTATCTAATATTTAAAATAGAAGACCTGAAACTCCTGTTGAAAGCTAAGCTGCTGCATGTCATGAAACAGTGGAGGCTCATGGTAATCATGCACCACATCTTTGACAGCAAACTGCATAATGCTTCCTGCGCAGTAGCCCCTAGAGATTTTCCTTGTTGGTTGTTTAGCAGCATTCAATGTTTGTTTACTTGGATATCTGGACCCAGTTTTTATCAACGAACTAAAAAAAATTTAAGAAGCTATGGGGGAAATATGTGGATGAAAATCATTTTTGTCTGCCCTCCTACCCTCCTCCCTTTACCCAATAGATCCTCTGTTTCATTCTAATTTGCTTTATTTCCAAGTTCATCACCCAGAGTGGAATGTCTTGTGGCAAGCCTTTGTTTCCTCTCTTAGAAAATAAGAATAATCATTATTATCCTACAAGACTGAGGAAGGTCAAATAAGGTATTTTGTAAAATGCATAATATGACACAAATATTTGTTGGCATTTCATGTATATTTTCTAGTTTGTTCTCCACGTAGGTGTGGAAAATTGGTTATGGGAAACCTTATCAAAGGTATTCTCTCTGGACCTGAGTTTATCTTGCTCTTGGGGCCCCCCATGCTAAATGTGATGAAGGCAGTTAACAAACCATATTCTGTATGCTTTACAAGAAGCTAAATAAGATCATGTGTCTTCATCATGGATTATATAAGAATAATAAGCCTGATTTATTACATGGGTTTTCACAAATTCCAAAAGGCAAATATCTCACTCTTATCAGTCTAATTTATATATTGAGAGTTAAAAGGTATTTGTCCAGATTAAGACAAATCACAAAAACTAGTTTAAAATCTTTGTTTAAAACAAAGAATAAATATCATTGTCTGAAAAGTTCCCTCGGAATATATTTTAAGTGCCACAATTTCTGATGCTTCCCACTGCACATTCCTCCTCTATTGTTCAGATCCTCCATGTGCCAAATGTTTTCCATAGAATAGCCTGGGCTTTGAAATTAAAATGAGCATTCCAGAAATGCTTTGTTCCTTATAATAAATGCCAGAGAAGTATGAAATATGAAAAGAACATTGTATAAGAACACTGTGCTTCCATCAAAAAAGGCAATTTCATCTTGCAAGTTATTCACTTTTATAAGTTGTTTGTACCTACGTCTTCTTTTAAAATACTCCAATACAGTTATTTGATATTGATTAAACTAAAGTCAAGTGATGTTTTCAATGATTCCTTTTATTTCAGAAAGTAAATATGGCTTGGCAATCCTGTGGAAAAAAGAAAGCTGAAACTATTTTTTTTAACCCCAACTCACCTAAGAGATGTAACTTACTCCTATCAGTGACTGTAACACACCGTAGCAGATGATTCTCACCAAGGGGGAGGATAGGAGGGTGCTATTAGAAAAGGTCTCCCACCTCTTGAAGGAATACCAGCAACCAGTAAATTAGCTTTCAAGTTATCCTGTAAAATAAATCCTGTGTCCTCATTTTCTCTTTCAGTACTAAATCAGATATATTTCTGTAAGAAAATTTAGTTGGAACAACTTGCAACAAAGATGATTCTAATGTAGGTTCTAAGCCCATGTCTTGCTAACTTTACCTTCTGTCACAGATACAAAATCCTCCCATTCCCCTCTTTCTCAGACTTTAGGGATCCCTCTCATATAGAAAATCTCTAAGAAGATGGCTGAATAGGAACAGCTCCAGTCTACAGCTCTCAGCGTAAGCGATGCAGAAGACAGGTGATTTCTGCATTTTGAACTGAGGTACCAGGTTCATCTCACTGGGGCATGTCAGACAGTGGGTGCAGGACAGTGGATGCAGCCCAATGAGGGAGAACCAAAGCAGGGCGAGGCACCACCTCACACCGGAAGCACAAGAGGTCAGGGAATTCCCTTTCCTAGCCAAGGGAAGCTGTGACAGACAGCACTAAGAAAATTGGGTCACTCTCACCCAAATACTGTGCTTTTCCAAGTTTTCTTAGCAAATGGCACATCAGGAGATTATATCCCGCACCTGGCTCAGAGGGTCCCACACCCATGAAACCTCATTCATTGCTAGCATAGCAATCTGAGATCTAATGGCAAGATGGCAGTGAGGCAAGCACCCACCATTGCTGAGCTTGAGTAGGTAAACAAAGCGGCTGGGAAGATGGAACTGGGTGGAGTCTACCACAGCTCAAGGAAGCCTGCCTGCCTCTATAGACTCTACTTCTGGGGGAAGGACATAGCCAAACAAAAGGCAGTAGAAACCTCTGCAGATTTAAATGTCCCTGACTGACAGCTTTGAAGAGAGTAGTGGTTTCCCAGCACAGAGTTTGAGATCTGAGAACACTCAGACTGCCTCCTCAAGTGGGTACCTGACACCCGAGTAACCTAACTGGGAGGCACCCGCCAGTAGGGGCGGACTGACACTTCATACGGCCAGGTACCCTTCTGAGATGAAGTCTCCAGAAGAACGATCAGGCAACAACATTTACAGTTCAGCAATATACACTGTTTTGCAGACTCCACTGCTGACACCCAGGCAAACAGGGTCTGGAGTGGACCTCCAGCAAACTCCAACAGACCTGCAGTTGAGGGTCCTAACTGTTAGAAGGAACACCAACAAACAGAAAGGACATCCACACAAAAACCCCACCTGTACGTCACCATCATCAAAGACCAAAGGTACATAAAACCACAAAGATGGGAAATAAACAGAGCAGAAAAGTTGAAAATTCTAAAAGTCAGAGCACCTCTCCCCCTCCAAAGGAAGGCAGCTCCTCGCCAGCAATGGAACAAAGCTGAATGGAGAATGATTTGATGAGTTGAGAGAAGAAGGCTTCAGATGATCAAACTTCTCCAAGCTAAAGGAGG